TTCTGCAACATTGCTGCATGTGTAACTAATTGATATAAAATCGATGAGTCCAGAGAACATAGTGAACATCATGCAGGATCTCAAAGACCCCTGGCCAGTGCGCCCGGGAGGGCAGACACGTTGCTCTTTCGGCCTTGCTGGATCATTCAACCACGTCACGTAACCGGAATCAGGAACCTAGCTCGTGTATAGGACGACATGTTTTCGCATAAAAAGTGAGACGACGACTACAGCAGCACGTTTGTTAGCGCGGTGATGATTGTTAACCCTTCAAACACTGCAGCAGAGAGAAGTGCCCCTACTACTCAGTGAACGGCGACACTGAACACAGAACTAGTATCACATCATCTTTTCAGACTAATCCTGCTTCTGCATACATCATCATGGTGGATGTATAAGTGTGGGGAAGCATCACGAAGAATTCTGATCCCCTCTTGTTCGGAAAGTAGAAAGGCGGCGTTGGTTTGTTGATGTTCTGGCTATGCTCTGTCTTCTAGGTCGGCGCGACGTCATTTTTCAACAATATTAGGCACTTTTGCATATTGCCGAGGCTATTCTGACCTACCTTCACCCCACCTGAAGCTGATCAATCACTGAAAACAGGTAATTCAATTGGGCTTCCAAACCTGGCGAACAGGATAGCTGCATTTTTAGTTTTCCTCCATGCACAACGTGGATACGAGACAGCTTCCCTTGAACAGTTCTCCATGAAAATTATCCCTTCGTATAGACTGGTAGCCTTCGAGTTCCTTTCCTTAACCACTTAACCTAATCTAATGTGACCTTCCTCAATACAGAGCGATTCGATTGTGGCTCTGGCCAGCGTATTTCTTAGGTCGGTCACCGATTGAGAACATCTGGTCATGGTTTTCCGCGTGACTGGCACGTCGTCACTCCTCAAACACTACAGCTGATGAACTCTGACGTACAGATGAAGCCACGAGTAATGAAGTACCCGTATCCGTCATCCAAGCTCAGTTCCATTCGATGCGCAGCAGGATTACAGCTGCTTCCAGATGTGGTTGCTCCGAGACCTGAATTTTAAGCGTTTTTATACTCTAAACCACCTGAAAATTTAATCATGCCTTTCTCCCAGTTTACTGTATATGTATAATAAATAAATTCCTGTTATTTGCTTTCCTTACTGATATAAGAATTTGAACATAAGTGATTTGATTAGTTTCTGGCGTTACTTCACCTCGCTTTTGAGAAAGAATGAATAAGTTTTTTCCTAGACACATTCTAGTGTTTTGTTTAAACGAAGCAGGAGAGAAAAATAAGCAACCGCATAACGTCGAGTGACTGCAGTCACTCGAAGTTATGCGAGGGGGGTATTACTGTACTGTAATTTAAACAAAAACTCGAAAGAAAATATAGTTTCCTGAACATTTTTAATAGTATCAAAGGAATCTGAACAGAATTACATCTTGCTAAAGCAATACAATAAAAATTTCGCTCTTCTTCATAAAAAGGCAAAACCCTTTACTCCCCGTAAGATTTATTGCCGCAGACTTAACTTCTTTCAGTGACAGTGACTATGATTATTATCTAGATACATGAGACCTTAACGCAATGATGAAACGAAAAATGCATTGTTACGAATTTTGTATACATGTAAATAATTTTAATGAAATTATATGTAAATTGTAGTAGCTCTTGTATAAATAGCGCGAAAAGCGTCAAGATGAGAAGTATCGCAGGAAGAATACAGCTACATGAATAAATCTCTTTAACAGTCCATTTATCTCGTCCATAAAGTCCATTTAGAAAAGTCCTAAAAAGTTCCTGTCATAAAGTCCATTTATCTCTCCAGTTTGACGAGATAGCGCCAAAATGACAATGGTTCTCGCGAATAATCTTTGTAGCCAAATTTGATGATAAATCGCCAAAAGCTGCCAGGCTTGGTAGCTATTTGGCGACATTTGGGCCCGCTCCTTCTATAACTGTAACTGGTTCGCTCTCCCTGTAAATGTAACTGTATCCGGCCCTATGTAACTGTAACTGCATATGGCTTCCAGCAATATCAAGAAATCGAAGGTACTGGAAATTTCTCGGTGGTCGGCGGAAAGCCGGAGAGACTGAGAGACTTATATAAGACAGGAGAGAGGATCAGTTTTCACTTTATCTCAGAGTATTGAGAGATTATAGTAGTCAGTTCAGAGTATTGAAAGATCGCCATGAGAGCTTCTTCTTTTTAGGTGCTTAGTTTTGTTTTACGTACGACGTTCTTAGTAGTTTGAACTGATCTCTCTCATACTGAGAACAGCTGTTGCGTTAAAAGTTTCAGAACAGCGAATTCCCAATCCCCAGAAAATAAATTTCATCAAGCTTTCATCGGTTCTGTGCACATTCAAGCCATTACGAATACGTCCGCACATAACAATATTTTAATTTATTTATTTTTCTACCCTTTTGCTCCCGATGTTTTAGCTTTATATGAATATTTGAATATGCTTTATTCTTTTTATAAACTTAATTTTGATCTATAATAGTTAATAACACAATTGTAAACAACATTCGAAATGCCAATGGATATCCGAGACTAACTGCTAAATTATTTCTCTCTAATCTAAGCTTACAACATCGCACGCTATTTGAAAACATTCTTTGAATTCATACTAAAATAAATAAAATAGCTTCATATTTCGAGACTGATGAAACTTCATTCCACCAGGATATTCTAAAAATCTGAGCAATAACTTGCATAACTGGTTTTCGGATAACAAAAATTTCTTTCTCAAAAAAATAAGTATTTAGTGCAATATCTGGTGAGGGATATTTTCCCGTTTAGTCACACTTTAGTTTAACGAACATTACACCATTAGAAAAAAAATATTTTCTGTTTAACAAAGTATGAAACATACGTCTTAAACGAAATTTTGTCTGTCCAAACACATAGCCCATTTTTTTTTATCTGAGAACAATAAAAGCAGTTTCCAACAGGATGTTTCTCTGGTACAATAACTAAGCAAAATTACTTTACACTCAAAAGGAAAAATGTATTTTAACCCCGATTATAAAGTCTCTGATATGATGTAAAAGTAACATGATCTACATCTAAAGGCTAATAGAATTTAACTGTCTGCAATTACATTGCATTTTGTCAGATAAATATTCTTCATAAAGTGAAAGAATTGACATAACTTCCTTACTTTGGGTTAGCCTATTTTTTAAGTGCAATATAAGGGTTCAATATAAAGGTTTAATGTTTTCAAACTTTCATCAGCTGACAGATGATTGTTGTCTTTGGGAGGAGGGTTTTCTCACAGCCACATAACTAGCCTTTTTGGAGGGTCTAGCTATGATTTGTAAAGTAAGTGAAAAGAATGTAGCAAAGTCATGAAAAAGAATTGCATTACCATATAATTTTTTGAAAATCTAATATAATTACGCACTTTTCGAAGTTACACCAGGTAAAAGTTAAATTGCGTTTTATGCTATCTGCAACATAAAGAAAGAATGCATCATCATTTCGTAAGAATGAGAGCCCTACGAAATAAACAGCCATCTTCTGTAAGCAAGACATAACTATCACCTAGGCCCACGAGGTTCGAAACTAGAGCCTCACATTTTTAGGGATCGATCCCAAAAGTAATTTCTCACTTACTCATAATCGTAATTTTCTTCTTAGAAACAGAGAAAATAGAGCAGTGGGACTTTTAAAAATAATAGCATATGGCCTAGGACACTAAAGTACTTTAATGAAACTCTGGATATAAACTACGTTCTCAAATACTATTACATCATAAAAAAAGTGTTTCTCACATTGAATATTGAAGTTTTTCTACACATCATACGGTAAAAAGCATAAACTTTAATCAGTCTAGTGTGGCTTGTTTATTAACTGAATTTCATTAAGTGAGGTTAGTAAAATTTAAATAGTCATTGCAAAAATTCAAAATAGCAGATAGCTGTGGGTGGCCTTGGGCATTACTCAGAAAGCGAAAAGCTCATTCTACGAATCTCAGCTCTCCTGCAATTGGGCGTTGAGTGGAGAAATAGAATGAAAGTGAAATTTGACACTTTGTACAAGTGTCAAATTTCGGTTTGATTCGGTTCACTTTAAATCGCTGAAGGATGAAGCCTAGTATTACTAATAAAACAATATCCCAGCTAGCTTCCTACAGTGAGCCAAGAACATATGAAATGGAATTTGTGATTAACAGAGAAGAGTTGTTTCATCAGTTGCATGCTCATTCAACCTTAATGGTTAAGATACTCAATAGATGATAGTACTGAAATGGCATAATGAAGATTTCATCCGCAATTGCATCACAAATGTACTATTATGTAGCCCGAATGGTAAGGACTTTTTTCTTACGAAGGGATGCGTCGATTTATGTCTGCTGCATGTGGATTGATCAAGTGCATGCAGATATTTTAAGGGGAGGATTTTAGGCGATTATTTCCTCCTAAAAACGGCGGATTTTTAGGAACTAATATTAACAGTTTTCAGTAAACGTATTTTTAAAAATAGTTAAGATTTAGAATTACAGTCTTTTTATTTTCAACAAGTCTTCTATAGGTAATATATTAACGGAAAAACTTAATGCATAAAATTATTTTAATATCATAAATCCATCCGTTTAAAAATAATAATGTTAATTCAATTAATATTGCATTCAGTTCATGACTTTATTTAAAACTAATGCAACTTCGTTTCTCCGTTTGTTGCATTTGAAGCAGCGAGGTGAAAGTAAGTCAAAGTCCAATGTAAAAAAGTGAAAAATAATTTCTATAAGAGATGAAAACTCAAGAATAAAGATTGTCAGAGGCAATATAGAATATGCATTTCATGTACTAAACGTGTCATTTATATTGTCCTAAATATGTGTTACTGCAGATAATTACAAGCTCTCATCATAATAATTATCATAATTTGCAGCATTCTTATATTATCGTAAAAATTTATAATGCTATAATTGATAGTTCTATCTGTTCCAAAATTTTAGTTTTCAAACATGCTGAAATTTGACTTCTGATATTGGATGACAAAATAATTTCATAAAAAGCATTTTATTTAAAACTAATAAATAAATAAATAAATGCAAAGCATGTATATTTTAACTCTTATTGTCTGTCCGATTTTTTAGTCTGCTCAGATGTTTCTTATATGTCCTTTGGATCACTTTGGCAGCATTGTCTTGTTGCTTGCGTTTATGCGTCGTTGATATGATTTCTACTAAATTTCTTGTTGGAAATGTTTTCCGAAACCTTTGATCAACTTGCCTTTGTACTATTCGGAATTCCTCTGTGTCCTCTACATCTCCAAGTACTAAATTCACCAAACTATGCAAAATGTCCAAACAATGGATCCTGTCACCAGTAGCAATGGGAAGATTCATGGCTACCAGTGCTGGCTCGTTTGGTTTTTCAATCCCCAGCGGAGGATCTAATGAATCCACAAAATCTGATAACTGACTGTAATGAATAAATTGCGTAGCATTGGGGTCAAACTGTGACCAACACACGTAAAACATCTCAATATCCTCTTCAGATATACCTATGTCTTCCTTGCTGGCTTGGCTTAAATTCTCTAGAATCACTGCTATGTACATATTGATGATAACCATGAAGTTGATGATAATGTATGTGACAAGGTAGATGACTGCTAATGTCGGATGGCCACAATTACCATTTGGCAAGTTCATGAAATGAATATCACAATTAGGAGGTTGTACCATTAGAGCATCTAGAACATCATTCCAGCCAGCGGAAGTGGCCAGTCGAAACAGGAGTATCATGCTATTGGCAAATGTCTGGAAGTTGACCATTTCAGACAATCCTCCTGTTCCCGATCCTGCTTCTGGTAATTTAACATGACCAAACAGAGACATTCCGATGATGGCATATACGAAAGTGACAAGGAAAAGAAGCGCTCCAATGTTGAATAGGGCTGGCAGAGATATGACAAGGGCGAAAAGCAACTTTCGAATACCTTTCGCTGCTTTAATTAGACGCAATATCCGACCTATACGAATAAGTCGTATAACTCTTAACAACGTTGGACTGATTACAAGCTGTTGCAATGCTTCTTCGAAAATAATACCTGAAAATTAATAAAATGTCAATTAATTTTATTTATCAGAAAAGAAACACATTGGCTAATATTGCAATCAAATTCTAAATTTCAAACCTGTGTTTCAAAATTTATTTATACATAAACAGTTTTTTACTTATAGTAAATAAAACCTTTTTGCATTAAGAAGCAAATAAATAAGTGTTAGGTTATATTTATTTAAAAAAAATCTTAATGTTTAAACTTCTTCTCTCAAAATTATCAAGATTTAATAAACTCATGGTTGACCAAAGTTTTATAGTGAATATGTGCGTAAAATTGAAAACGCAAAAGTTATTTATCAGTGGTAGAAGCATTACATTATTTACTTATAAATAACCTCTTTTCGTACAATTAACATGATCCAAAAATCGGTACATATTGTTGCGTGCGTACGGATTCGTTATGAAGTGAATGCACAAGTCCGATGAAAAATGAACAAAACTTTTTATTATCACAACAAAAATGCTTAAATTTTCTCAAATTATCATGCAGTATTACAATATCTCACAGTAGTTATCTTTTAACTACTCAAATGTACAATAGAACGTAATTCAAAACAGCTAAAGAACGCTAATCCGCGAATTCGCTATAATCAACAACAGCAGTTTTCTAAACAACAACAAACTAAGCAACTACTAACTACAAACTGAAATCGAAATCGAAATCGAGTCAATGGCTAGGCGGCAATTAGTAGCCAACCGCTACTTTAACCGTCTCTGTTGGTAAATTGCCCTAAGGCGTTGGTACTTAAGTTTTTAATTAAGGCGATTTACGCCGCGCCAACTAGGCGAAACTTGTCAAATTTTGGGAAATGTAGGTGGAGTAAGGGAGATGATTGGCAGGAGCCTGTCACGTGGGTGGTCACCAGCTTACGCGTACAATGAGAAATATTGGAAATATTAATAATTATCAAGTTTTGAAACAGGTTATCTAGATTGGAATAATTAAACTAATATCGCGATCTAAATGAAGACAAATGGCACACAACTAAGTGCAACAGATTAGCTAAACAAAATATTCAAATTCATCCTTTCTGTAAAACACAGATTGGACAGTGGTAGTCACGTGGGAGTCACCCTCCCGTGAACTGTCCACAGCCCAATGCATCTTGAAATAGTAGATATCACAATTCAGTGAAGTCTTGGTCTGAGAAATTAAACACTAAAGTTCTTGTACAACACTGAGGCACATGAGTTACTGTAAACTATACACTATGTACATATAGGGACGGCGGTATTTGAGCGAAGTGGCAAATGGTGAAAAAAACATTTTACACTAGCAATAAATAATCAGAGCTTTGAAGATCCAGGTACACGGATCATGTCCATAAGTCCACAATATTACAAAGTCTCTGATATAACAATAAGAAGATTACGAAAATGACAAATATAAGATCAGTGCTTTGAAGATCCAGGTACACGGATCATGTCCATAAGTCTATAAAGTTTCAAATATACTGGTAAAATGAATGACACAATGAAGATAAAATAAAGATAATAGTACTATGTACAATATATACACATTTCACCATTTGCTGTTATGGAAGATGCCTCTTGGGCGCTTTGCTGCAATTTCTATAGTAGGATCATAATTTATCAGATTACGGATATGTTCGTATTGAGAAAGTTCTATTTTAGCATAGAAATTGTGGCTCGTGGTGAGAATTTGATCATCTATGGGTCTTATTTTTAGTTCTTTATGTATCTGCAGGTTACGTACGAACCATGGGGAGTCAACAATTTGTCTGAGTATTTTGTTCTGAAAGACCTGTAGTTTGTGTCTATAAGTCTTGTACACAGTGGCCCAGATAGGCACTGCATAAAGTAGGGTGGGTCTTATTAAGCTGGTATAGATTTCTTCTTGAGACTGATATTTAATTTAGCATTTCTTCTTATTAAAGGGTAAAGAGACATTTTAGCAGCGGTGGCTTTGCGCAAGGCATACTCCGTGTGTTCTTTGAATAACAGCTGTGAGTCGAAGACCACTCCTAGATACTTGGTACTTGAAACAATTGCTAGGGCTTGAACATTAATTTTTATATTTACATTTACAGGAGTGAACTTCTGATGACGTCTGAAAAGGAGAATTTGGCTCTTTGACGGATTTACTTTTAATTTCCATGAATCATAATAGTGTGCTATGATATTTACTGCGCTTTCAAGTTTATCTACAGCGAGCTGAGGTTTTAGCGACTTGGTTAAAATTGCTGTGTCGTCGGCATATTTCACTACTTTTGCATTCAAAGGAACCGGCATATCATTCGTGTAGATATTAAACAGAAGCGGTCCCAGAACGCTTCATTGAGCCACTCCGCTTTTAACTCTTTTTCTTGAAGAGAGTGGTGGTGGTGGTGGTGGTGTATGGCAAAGCACTTATGGCTATCTGCCTTTCTTGAAGAGAGAGAAGTCATTAATTTTTACCTGAAAGGTCCTGTTTTTAAGATAGCTTTTCATGAGCTTAATAAAACTGATGGGCAGATGAACAAGGTGCAGCTTGTAGAGTAGACCCTCATGCCACACCTTGTCAAATGCTTTTTCTAGATCTAGAAAACAGCTGGCGATTGTGTTCTTTTTTTGCGAAGGAGTCTGCAATAAATTCTGTAACGTTCAGTAGTTGGTGCACGGTACTATGACCGGCTCTAAAACCAAACTGCTCTTTACATATAATTTCTTATCCTCTAGATGTTGAGTTAATCTCTTTGGAGGACACGCTCAAATACCTTTCCCAAACTGGGGAGAAGGCTGATCGGACGGTAGGAGTTTAAGTCCTTTGGTTTTTCCCCGGCTTGACAAACGTAATATCTGCGCGTGCTTCCACTGTTGCGGAAAGTTGAGCCTCATACAAGCACTATGTTTTACAAACTGAGATGTTTTCCTCCTTTTATAAGATTTTAAAATCACGCGCTAGAATTTTCCAGTACTTTCTCGAAATCAAAAAGAGATATTTATTTATTTAATGCACGCGCTCTTGTATTTTCAATTTTCCGGCTTAGCTTTCTTTTAATATTCGTCACGCGCTGCACTGCGCGAGAAATAAAACCATTTAATTTATAATTGAACTAACATTAGCTTTTTAAATACCAAATTCGTAACACTGCCCCCTTCCCAAGGACTGCACGTCCCGGGCAGTACAATCCCTGGACAGGAAGCTAAACTTACAACTGTGGCATAAATGCAACTGAGGCATAAACATTACATTACAATATCAAACAACATGAACAATAAATGCAATAACTAACTTAAACAAATCAAATGCTATCAAATACTAAATACAAACAAATACTAAATACAAATCAAATACTAAATGCAAATCAAATAAATACAAATCAAATCAAATACACATTTATAAACAAAAAGGACCATGGTCTGATACTATTTACAATTATTTACATTACGTACTATGGCCATAGTAATGAGCTAACCTGTCGTAATGAACGACTTTAGGTTTAGAGTTCGAAGACTTACGAATCCGAACCACGACGTCATTCAGCCTGTTTAGGACTGTGTACGGGCCATCCCAAGGTGACTGTAATTTCGGACAAAGTCCTTTCCGTCGAGTCGGATTCCACAACCACACCTTGTCTCCTTCGTGGAATTGATGTTCAGTAGCTCTTGTGTCGTATCGGGTCTTCATCTTCTCCGTCGCCAAGTTGACTCGCTCTCGTGCAAAGTTGTGCATCACTTCAAACCGGGCCTGGAGATCTTGAATATATTCCTCAGACGATGAAGGAGCATCCGGAGGGCGGCCAAACAATAGATCACAAGGCAGACGAAGGTCACGACCGAAGAGCATCTGTGATGGAGAATAGCCGGTAGTCTCGTGGACAGCACTGCGGTAAGCCAGTAAAAAGAGTGGTAATTTCTTGTCCCAGTCCTGTTGGTTTCTGGAAACCACTAATGAGAGGTTATTAAGGATGGTTCGATTGAACCTCTCTACCATGCCGTCCGACTGGGGATGCAATGGCGTCGTTTGAGTTTTGTCAATGCCGAGTAGTTTGCATAGTTCTTTGATTACTGCCGAGGCAAAATTCCTTCCCTGATCGGAATGTAACTGAAGAGGCACTCCGAACCTGGAAATCCAGTGCTGTATCATTACCTCAGCTACTGTGACAGCCTCTTGATCAGGAATAGGATAAGCTTCAGGCCACTTGGTGAAGTAATCAATGACAACGAGTATGTATTTGTTGCCATCAGCAGTTCGTGGCAGAGGTCCCAGGATGTCAAAGGCGATACGTTCAAAAGGCGCCCCTACGTTGTAACGTTGCAGCTTGCCTCGGCTGCGTCTCTTCGGTCCTTTCCGACCTGCACAGGCATCGCAAGATCGGCACCACTTTTGCACGTCATCCTTTGCATTATTCCAGTAAAAGCGCTCACGAACTCTCTGTAAGGTCTTCATTATTCCAAAGTGACCTCCCGTAGGGCTGTTATGTAGTTCTTTAAGGACATCAGGAATGCGGGATCTTGGAAGTATCAGCTGCCATCGGAACGTCTTCCCATCATCCGATTCGAATTTCCGGTATAAGACGCCGTTTCGAATGTGAAGTGAATCCCAGAGTGCCCAATATTGTTTGGTTGTAGGACTACAGATAGAAATGTCCTGCCAGGTAGGTTTTCTGTTTGATGACTCCATTAAATCAATTATGGGTTTAATGTCGCGGTCTTCCAGCTGGTCTTTCCTGACTTCATCATCACTCCACGGTTCTCGATCAGCCGATGTTGATGTTGTAATTTGTCTTGCGACCGGAGTCAGCAGCTCGTATTTCGCTTCCACCCTGGAACAATATCGGCAGCTTTCTTGGCAAGGTCTTCTAGACAGGGCGTCGGCGTTTCCGTGTGATGATCCCTTACGATGACGGATAGTGATGTCATATTCTTGGAGTCTCTGTATCCACCTGGCTATTTGACCCTCAGGATTCTTGAAATTTAAAAGCCAGGTCAATGATGCATGATCGGTGCGGAGCAGGAATTTTCTGCCGTATAGATAGTGAT